CTCTCCTTTCTCTCGTCTGCATGACGGCATATATCCACTATGGCCTTAAACATTCCAACTCTTATCCTATGAATTATAGGTGGCTCATCCACCTTGGAGCTTCCAAGGAAGAAGTCATCTCCTGACTTGCAGCGTATTTGTCCACCTTTCAAACCGTGGCAGGTGCTCTATTTGTCTGCGCTCTGGCCTTTCCCGCAAACACCTCCGTCAAAAGTTCTAGTCGTGACGTAACCGGGCGCTGGTGGACGCTGGCGTTCGCGGATCGATACCTATACTTCCCTAGTCCCTCGAGACGCAGGCAGACGCTGGTGGACGCTGGCGTTCGCTAGATCGATATCTATACTTTCTTAGACGCTGGCGTAGGCTCGAAACGCTGCTGTACGCTGGTATGTGCTGGCGTACGCGCAAAGTATGAATGTAGCCTCACTCATTCGCTGCATATTCATCTTAAATGCTTACCTGTAGGTATTTTCTGGAGATGACATGCGCTGCATCGCAGTCTTTGGTCAAACGTCTTCATCGAGCGGCTTTGAAATGCCTGCTGAGCTACCAGCTCCTTTCCGCTCTGTTGGACCCGCTCCTTACCACGCTACTACCCCTACAAGTGGCGTTTCTCACGAAACTCCTACAGGTGGACCTCGTCCCTTGTTGGACCGCCCCACCGATGTAGCCATTGCCCCCGATGGTCGAATCTATGTGATTGACTTCGGCAACAACTGTATTCGCGTCTTCTAATTTGATTCAAAATGGTAAATCGCTCCGCCTTCAAGCAACAACTAATAATGTTGTTGTTCTTTTTCATGTCAAGTGGAAATCTGGCTTCAAGCCAACACTTGTTTTGTGTTGTATCGCTAGGTGAACATGTGCTGTTTTTGCTTTGAGCCCGCTGCGAGTCTCGCGTATTCTTTTTTCAGGCCTGCCTGCTCTTGTCATTTCCACATGTGATTCGATACGCTTTTCTTTATTTGATTTGTTGTTTGATTTGTTTCAAGTTTCACATAGAGTTTATTGTTTACCTATCCCGGTGTAGTAACCACAGTCTCGCGCCCATTTTCCCCTGCCCCAAATCAACAAATATTGCTCATATGGCCCTGGGCGGCTTATCGCTCTTGTACACGATTCGCATGGTCCACCCAAGAAAGAAGAAGTTTTGGCACTGTTTCACTATTACTACCCCAAAAACTCAGTTTTTTCGCTGAAACTCTGCCCAGTGAGATTATTCCGTGCCCTAGTCACGAATAGTATTGATTTTTAGCGCTAGCGGCATTTGGCGCCACCATCTATCACACCAAAATGGATGAAAACCTGTATACGGGGGTCACTCGACATCCTGATCACGAATATCGCACTCGTTTTTGACGCTAGCGTCATTTAGCGCAATAGGTGCCAGTTTGTCTCCATCCCCTTTTTCACCAAAATCGATGAAAACTTGTTTACGAATGTTATTTGACATCCTGATCACAAATATGACGTTCATGACACCAGCGGAATTTAGCGCTGTGCCAAGGCTGAGCCTTGCGCAAAGGGATTCGCTCCTCTCGGGCATAGCCTCAGCAGAGCGCTAAATTTCGTTGGTGTCAGGAAATGGTCGTCATTTTCGTGCTTAAGGTATCATTCAACCTCGTAAGTTTTCATCGATGTTGGCGAAA